TAGAGCTTAGAAAAAATTGGCCTGATTAACTGATAGGATGTAGCAACATCAGCATGGCATGTATAGCCTTTAAAAAGCCAGGAAATGAAAAAATCTTTTGGACTGATAGATAGCGACAGCTATTATGGGAGATATGGTTAAATATACATTAATGTTTAAAAAAGAGACTCTGGTTCAATAGGAAAATTAAACATAATTACTAATTTTTAATTTATAAGTTAGTTATCTCCGTTTTGCATGTATAGCCCAATAAGAATGAATAATTCAATAAAAAAATTTAAATGGACTGATATGTCGCGATCTGCGTAAAACAGCTATTAGGGAGATATGGTTTAAATCTTTAATTTAATGTTTGAGAAAAAAAACGCTGATATTTGGTTCAGTACCAATAATATTCAAACATGCTTTGCTAGAAATGAGTTTTTGGATGTTATCTCCCTTGGCGTTTGTATCAGCCCAGAAAATTAACGTCCAACCAACTCTCTTGGATCTTCTCTGATAGATCGCGACAGCAAAAATTTAAGGAAAATGAAATTAAATATACTTTAATCGGCGGAGAAGGTTTCAACAAAAAAAATCGAAAATTGCTTTTTTCATTATTATTATTGTTTATTTTATAAAAAAGATTATGTTCATGCTCAGTTTAACTTTATGGATTGCGGCTTGGATTGAGGAATAAACCGTAGATTTGTCTGCTGAGTTCAAATTCATCGTGAAATCATTAGGTTTTTTGGAAAAAGTATTTTATTTCTTCTTCTTTTAAAATATTCCAGCTAAATATTTTGAAACGAAATAAGAAATTCTAAATTTTCTATTGCCCTCAAAATGACTGGAAAAAATAATTTGCCTCGTCAGTGCACGCATCGAACTTTTGTCGATAACTTCAAACGGTAGATGGCACATAATATGATATGAATAAATATTATAATATATATACAAATATATATATATTGTGAAAAAAGGAATTCAAAAAACAATAGACACATTTTTTATTCTTTTATCATATCTGTTTACAAAAATGGAAAGGCCGATTACGCAATAGGAATAACATCATATAGTTCGTAACCATTTGAAATGAGCTAACATAAATTGTAAATTTGTTAGAATATAGAAGATTATTACAAATTAATGTTTTTGAAAAAGCATTTTATTTTTTTTTTTCTTCAAAAGTCGATTTTATCTTAATTTTTGAAATGAAAAATGATGAAAAAATTTTCCATCATCAATCAAAATGAACTACACAAATGATCTCTTATGAAAAAGAGAGGATACAAAACTGAAATAGCTTCAATTTTTCAACTTCTATCTTTTAAAAGGCAGGATGCCAATGTGTGTGGAAAATGAAAAATACCTGTGTGTGTGTGTGTGTGTGTGTGTATTATTTTTGTGTGTGTGTGTGTCACTAAATGCGTAATTGGCCGCAATTTTCCGTAAAACGATATTTCCTGTAATAAAATCTTTTATAAATAAGAACTATTAATTTCTCCAAGACGTGAATTTGCTTTTGAAACTCCAATCGATGTGGAAATAATACATTTTTTCATGCTTCAACGGCAGTTTTCATGTTTTTGCGAATGGTTTTCGAACTGGCCAGCTCCACTTACTGAAAGACATTTTTAACCCGTGATGTTAGAAACAGGTTCTACTAAGTTTAGCGTGAAAAAGAACCAACATACATGAATATAGCATCAAAAATGTTAATTTAGCATGTAACTAAAAAAATTGTCAACAACATTCGTCTTGAAGTGGGAATAAATTTAAATCTGCATTGGCACTTTACTCCAATTGGCTCATTTACCATTCCTTAAACTCAACGTTGATTCTAAATTCCGCAGAACTGGGTTGCAAAAAAAAATGAATATTTCTTGTTAACATTCTTTTTCATTCGGTTTTTTTAATTTCCGGGTCTTTTTTTTTTTAAGCTGATCGTTTTGTGTTCACTTTTGTTTAGTTCTTTTTCGTAACAGAAAAAAATTTTCAGTATAAAGCTTAGAAAAAATTCGTATCCTATTGAGATTGGCAGGTTTAAAAAACACAAGGCACACAACCAACATCAGAACGGCAAAGGGCACTTGTTTAAAAAGGAATGAAAGACACAAAAAAAGCATTCAGTAGTGAAGTGATAGCGTATTGCTGTATGAGTCATGACGATTTTTGAATAAAGCACGGGCAACGCCGGGTCATGCTGCTAGTTAATTAACGACAATTTAAAATTACGACCATTAATTACTAATTTTTAATTTATAACTTTACTTTGTTCTCCGTTGCCACAAAAAATCATTTTTGATTTTATTAAAAGCTATCTGCTGATAAAAAAAATTTTCAGGAAAATAATTCAATAATGAAAATTTAAATGTCATCTCTGATCGATGTCGCGATCTGTTAGTAGGACAACAATTTGCAATTTTCATTGAACGTCCTTTTGACAACAATTTAATTACAAAAATGACATTTCAGGACAAAAAATTCTGATATTTGTTTTCAACAAATTTTCTCAACAAAAATTTAAAAACAATCTATAAAAAATTTCATTTCTTTCCTTTGCTAGAATTGAGTTTTTGGATCTGTGATATTTTCAGAAAAAAAATAATCAGTTGCGTTTGATAAAAAATGAAAAATGACTTCGTTTCATACACAACTGAAATTTAATCTTTGCAGTACAAAGTACGAATGTCGCTTAAACGGCAATTGCCAGCAAAACAATAATATACCAATCCACTGTAAAATCAATAGATAACGAAGAAAACATATACATAGGAGTAACTACGCACACCGAACATCCTTTACCAATAGTAAATACGCGAATAGCACGACACTTCTTTAATATATATGAGAAATTAAAAACAAAATACACCAAAAATATCATAGTAAATAAGGAAAACCTCATCAGCCTACATCAATAAATCTCAAAAACTGTCTTGCGGAGAAAATAACTGCAATCACCTTCCTGAACCAAGACAAATTGCAAAATAAACGATCAGAACCCGTCTTAAAATACAGAAACGAAAACAAATTTTTACTACGTTACTTAAAAAACGAAAACTAAAATCGAATACCTTGTAAAACATCAACAAGAAAAATACAGCGCAGATAATGTAGCATTTTCTACATAAAGCCACTACTTTATACTAAACGAATAACTCAAGCCAGAAAAAATAAATAATATAATAAAATAAGTAAACAAATAGATAAAATAAATTAACAAATCGAGAAAATAATAAACAAATTAACAAACTCTGAACACATGCATAAAGACAAGTAAATTTAATAATAATAACAATAATAATAGTAAATAAATAGTTAATGAATAAATAAAAATATGAAATCATTAATAAATAATGAGATAAAAGTAAAACAAACATTATACAATCCTGAAAAGATCAGAATCCCGAAACTTGAAATCCTGAAAGATCAGAATCCCGAAATTTAAAAACCTGAAAAGATCAGAATCCCGAAATTTAAAATCCTGAAAGATCAGAATCCGAAAATTTTAAATCCTAAACGATCAGACTTCAGAAATTTAAAATCCCGAAATTTAAAATCCCGAAATATCAGAATCACGAAATTTTTGGTATGGGTCATTTTACTATAAAAATTTACTGTTGATTTTTGTTTGGAGATTCACTATTTTCCCATATCTGGGTCCCTAACAGGTTCTACCACCCCAAGTCACCTTGGGAACAACAGCAATTCAGAGGTCATTCTTTTCGTATTCCATCAGTAAGAATTTGTTTTCCCAATCGCTATAATCTTGACCACTTCAGGACTAGGGTTAACCATTATCTTATTTTATATAACTCCACTCTTTACATTTTCTTCCGCTCATACAACACCACTCGGTAAGCCTCTATCTTGAATGGCTCTTGGACATTTAGTATATAAAAATTATATTATTTGCAAATTCTCACTTCTTCGCCTGAACACGGACCATTATACATCGCCTGCAATTAGGACGAATTCCATCTTGAGACAAACCAACCAAAAATCTGATTAACTTGGTCTATCATTTTTATTAAACAAAAAGTTTTTTTATGTGTATAATAATAATAATAATAATAATAATAATAATAATAATAATACTGAAATAAGAAGAAAAAATCAATGAATCTGCCAAAAGTGATCATTTTTCCCTTTTATCGATTGATGACTTTTATTGTTTCATCCATTTCTGAAGAAATAAAACCTATGTGCAACGGGGCAGCTCAAAAGAGCAAATAGAATTTCTCCTTCATGAATAAGAAAACGGTTGCGTGGTTAGGGTTGGCGAATTCTGTCGATTAGCGAGATTGACGCCATTGCCAGCGGTCGGTGTCAAACAACCCAGTCACAGATCTAGCAATGATTTTCATACGAGATTTTTTGGAGGGTTTTTTTTTTTGGGGGGGTGATTGTTTGTTTTTTGAGTTGACATAATAAAAATTTACAGTGAAAGAACCATTATCCAAAAATGTGTTTGTTTTTGGGATTATATACGGAAAAAAAAAACATTTAATTTTGTTTTTTATATTTCATTTTTGAGTTGCGGAATTGTCAATATAACCCGGATATAAGAGACCCGGATATAAGAGAAACCCTGATATAAGAGAGATTTTCTCTGGTCCCAAATTAGAGCCCATACTCACCTAAACAAAATAGACCAAACCCGGATATAAGAGACTTCTTCTCCGGTCCCGACAACTCTCTTATATCCGGGTTACACTGTACTTTAATTTATTCGAAATCTTGTTAAGGGTTTACGGGTTTATCACTCTGAAATACCGGCTCTCGTATGATCAACAAAGTTAAGCAACATGTTCAGTACCTACATGGGTGACAGCTTGGGAATACCGGGATCTGTAAGCTCGGGTGTGCTGGTAGGATGGCTTACGGCTAAATCACGTTGGAACACCAGTCTTGTGCGATCACCAAAGTTAAGCAACGTCGACCCTGGTCAGTAACTAGATTGATGAATGTTTAGGAATACCGGGTGTTGTGAGCTTGGCCGTGCGGGTGGTACGGATTACGGCCAAATCGCGTTGAAACACCGGTTCTCGTACGATCACCGAAGTTAAGCAACGTCGTGTCTCTTCAGTATCTAGATGGGTGATCGATTGGGAATATTGAGTTCTGTAAGCTCGGGTGTACGGTGGTATGGCTATGGGCAAATGGCGTTGAAACACCGGCTCTCGTACGATCACGGAAGTTAAGCAACGTCGCTGCTGGTCACTAACTAGATGGATGACTGCTTGGGAATACCGGGTGCTGTAAGTTCGGGTGTGCGGGTGGTATGGCTTACGGCGAAATAGCATTGAAACACGGGTTCTCGTACGATCACGGAAGTTAAGCAACGTCGACGCTGGTCACTAACTAGATGGATGACTGCCTGGGAATACCGGGTGCTGTAAGGTCAGGTGTGCGGGTGGCATTGCTTACGGCTAAATAGCATTGATACACCGGTTCTCGTACGATCACCAAAGTTAAGCAACGTCGACTCTGGTCAGTCAGTAGGTGGGTGACTGCTTTTGGAATACCAAGTGCTGAAAAGTTCCAGAAGTGACCTGCCGTCATGAGGGGTGTTAAAAGTTTCTCAGCTTAAAATTCGGCCAAACTTCATAATATTTTTTTTAAATCACTTGTTGTTTGGAAGTGAGAATTTTTCAGCATATCCAAGACAATAACGCACCTGTGAGGTTTAAACCGATTCACACGCCATATCGAAGGCGGTAGGGATAACTAACTGACGAGCTTTCTGTGAATGTAACGGGAGATGGATAGTTATGCAAAGGGGCAAATGTTACTAAGAGCCACAGCATAGAAGGGACACGGCATACAAAAGAAAAAACCTCTGTCGATATTTCTGAGATGAGCTATTATAAGTATTTTTTTGGACTTATTGTCATATCCACGACGTTTCGGCCGTTTTATGTTCCGGACTTCTTCAGGTGATATACGTTGGAATTTCGAACCAAGCCTTTGTTCTCGTTCCACGTGCCGTGCCTTTTTCTGGATATCTCAGTTTCAGACTAGATTGATGAATGTTTAGGAATACCGGGTGTTGTAAGCTTGGCCGTGCGGGTGGTACGGATTACGGCCAAATCGCGTCGAAACACCGGTTCTCGTACGATCACCGAGTTAACAACGTCGCGTCTCTTCAGTATCTAGATGGGTGATCGATTAGAATATTGAGTTCTGTAAGCTCGGGTGTGCGGTGGTATGGCTATGGGCAAATGGCGTTGAAACACCGGGTACGATCACCGAAGTTAGCAACGTCGTGTCTCTTCAGTATCTAGATGGGTGATCGATTGGGAATATTGAGTTCTGTAAGCTCGAGTGTGCGGGGTATGGCTATGGGCAAATGGCGTTGAAACACCGGCTCTTCGATCTGAAGTTAAGCAACGTCGTGTCTCTTCGGTATCTAGATGGGTGATCGATTGGGAATATTGAGTTCTGTAAGCTCGGGTGTGCGGTGGTATGGCTATGGGCAAATGGCGTTGAAACACCGGCTCTCGTACGATCACCGAAGTTAAGCAACGTCGACCCTGGTCAGTAACGAGACGGGTGGGTGCTTGTGAATACCGGGTGCTGTGAATTGGTTCAGACAAGACTTAGAGAGTTGAGTTACTAAAGGGAAAGACACTTTACTAACTCAACTCTCTAAGACTTGTTCAACTCTGCTGTGGCCAGGTATTGAACTCACAACTCTTTGGATCAAGTCACTGGATTACTTCAACCAACGCTTTTATCACAGTGGGCCGTGTGTCCCCGGGGATATCAGTGAAAGAATTTTTGAGACTAATAAACCTAATGTCTCTGTCAACATTTTTTACCAGAGCTCATATTACAATTGTTGTTTTTTTTCCTAGCACTCTGTATCACTGGTTCCCGTATTGTACTCATTTCTATGCTTGGCCGACTTAGAGGAGTTTTGTGGAATCAGCGCATATGCTAGGCTACAACAGAGGTGAAGAAAAACTTAGAGAGTTGAGTTACTAAAAGGAAATAACTGAAACTAAGATATCCAGAAGAGGCATGGCACGTGGAACTAGAACAATCTATCCCAGTGGACAAAATAAAGGGTTCGATTCGAAATGCCAACGTATATCACCTGAAGAAGGTCGGAGCATGCAACCGTCGTGAATGTGACAATAAAGATGAGGACAACAGTCCGAACAATGTAAATAGTCTATAAATAGTGTAAGATAGCTAAGCGCGTGGGCTACCATTCCTGCTTGCTAACCATTGATCTGAATCCAAATGCTCTTTAAGAAGAAAAATTGAACCACTCGATATAATTTCAAATGTCGCCGTTCGAATCAATCAATCGTTGTTTCTCTGTCGATTCAGCTCAAATCTCGACTATCTCGCTGACCTAAATAGGATCGGCAGAAAGAATAACAACCGGAAGTGAGATTATGGCTCCGGAAACTTCTTATAATCAAAATCGATTTTTGTACATTTACAATTGGCTGCTATTACGTTAGTTGGGTGGCCTGCCTCGTGGTCGCGGCAGCTGCGTTTACGTACTCCCCGCTATTATCAGAAATCCGGGTTCGAACCTTAGGTCAAACTCAAGATTTCCAACGCTGATTTTATATAGAGACACGTTTGAAAGTGTCATATAAATTATTCCAACCCCTATTTTTCGCTTCTATATGTCAGTGTTCGAGCCTAGGTAGCGGCCGGGTTGTGCAAGTGGTGTAATAAATAGATGCATGGAATGGAATGAGAGATCGAAGAGCCGAGTTCGAATTCCAAGCAAGTTCGTTGCATTCACTTATGTGCAAATATCCTTGGGAAATGTATGCATTCATCTCCTTCTTCCTCTTCGGGGTATGCGTTAAATCAGTGTTTCCCAACCTATGGCCAAAATGGGCCGTGGCAAATTTCTGGTGCGCCACAGAAATTTTCTATTTGGATATATTCTATGTAAAATGTAAGTACTGTGTTCAAAGTGACCGATGAGCTAAAAAAATAGGTTGAGAACCCCTGGGCTAAATTGTAGGACTTGTATCTGAAAATTTTATTGTTATCTCCAAAAACTTATTAATGAAATATTCACACGCAAAAGAAAAAGAAAAAGAAATTATTACATAAATATTCTTACAATCTAAAATATGTTCCAGCTTTAAATAACCCACAAAGGGTTGATAAGCCGTAAAAAACAATCTCTCGAACGAAAAATAATGACATAATCCCGATGGTGACGTTCCACTTTTTCTTCTTCTCCTATGAGCCGTGTCCCTTCAACGCGAGGGCGATCATGGCTATCCACAACTTCCTTTCTTTTGTAGTTTTTAGTAAATTTTGTATTTTCGCTATCACTCCTAAACCCTATACTTTTGCCTTTAATATGTCCTGTGAGTGTCCGATTTTCTAAGCCCTCTTTCCTCATACACTACTTAGAAACAAAGGATAGGAAGGAAACTGCCGTCAATACTGGAAAGAGCAATAACAGCTACTGGACCCAAAAACCTATTTTCCTGAAAACCTATTTCCCTTTAAGAGAAAGAATCAATTAATTTTAACCGACAGTAGTACTGGCTGTTCGGCAAATGAATGCCAAATATTTCCTTATAAGAAAATATTTCCTTATAAGGAAAATATTTCCTTATAAGGAAACGGCTAATATTACGATTACAATTGATATTAGGTATCTATTATGTGAAATAATTACTTTTAGACAGACAGACTATCGTCTTATTCTTCTAAGCGCGGTGTCTCATCAGGACGTGAGCAATAATGGCCCTCCGCAACTTCCTATCTTTGTAGCTTTTAGTAATGTTTGTCTTTTCGGTATCTGTCCCAACCTCTGTTCAACCATCCGTTAACACAAGTTTATCGATACTTTCCTCTGTCCCTCCTGCTTTCAATATGCCCTCTTTCCTCATCATGGGCCGTAGAAATTTCAACTCTCTCTTTCGGGTTATCAGTGTCTTTTTTGTTTCCATTTTCTTTCAAACACCCGACTTAAAAGACTTGCGCAACACAATCTTGACATCCCAGTTTAGATTTGTATTGTACTAAGCTAAGTTTTAGTAGATATAAGAATTTATTAAAATGTTACATGTTAAAATTTATACGAGTCGGTTAAGGCACGTCAGCGTAAATGACGGTTCCGTATAGGATGCAGGTTCGAATCCTGTCAAAGGACGAATAGTTTCTATGAAAATTTCTCGGACATTCAGGCCGGTAAATGTTATTTAATACTGTTTATTATAAACAGAGCATTTACTTAAATACTTGTATCTATAAAAAAGAATGTTAAACATAAAAATGTCTTTAAATAATTGTCGGACTTTGTCCATTTCATTATATATATATATATATATATGTTTAGTATATTGAAAAATAATGATAACTGTGTGGGCTAGACAATTTTTTTCTCTCCAGAATCTATCTTGCATATATATAAGTCTACCATTCGTCCATGCTTTGAATATCGCTGGCACATATGGTGCGTCGCTCCTGCTATATATTTAGATTCTTGATAAAATCCAAAGAAAAATCAGCAATGGGATCGAAACCCTATCGATTTGGCAAGTCAGAGATTCTACTTGCAAGCTATCGTTGCACGGCAGCGCGGAAACGAAATTTTAACGTTTTTACTATACGAAAGACGTCAGTAGCTAGGAGATATCGATTTAAGTAGAAGAGCATTGCATTAGCAGTAGCAGCCGCCGTTTATAAAATCACCCCTTCCCCTGCAAGAGCTTCCCATGTGTTTTCTATAAATACTTTTATGATAACTGTTCAGATGGCACCACTATGGAACCTAGACTTTATGAATTTAAGTGCAGTACTAGATTGGCGTTGAGGTCTCATCAATTTACAGTAGAGCGGGATGGACGCAACTGTAAGTTCTCTTCTCTTTCTTCGCACTTCTCGCTTGTGGAACTCTCTTCCGGCTTTTTGATTCCCAGCCAACTTTGATCTTCAAAAATTTAAATGCAAAGTCAATCATTCTCTTGAATCCTCTTCTATTGTTCTCGAGAGTAATAATGTTTATCCTAAATTCTTATTTTTTCACACTCGGTAATCCCTTGCGTCTTAGTGACTTTATTGCCTTGCATGGGGGAATTTGATTTTTAAAAATTACTATCACCGAGATGAAATCTTTTACTTGATCAAGACAAGTGTGGATATCTGTCGGAAAGAGACTGATCTTGAAAAATCGAAAGTTTTAATGAAGCCAGGTGAACATCATTGGCGATTCAACTCGGATAACGAAAGCAGTATTCACGTTATTTTTCCTTGCTACCGAGATCTCTCGAGACGACCGGATGTTTAAATACCCATAGCGGTTTGTTAATAGATGTCTTCTCATCACATTATTTTATCTGTTCCCTTTACTCAATATGTTTCTCTTAATTGATCTATTTTGATTTGTTCATAAAGATTAACTTGTTCTGTCCATAAAGAATACATTGAAAAAAATTAATTATATTATCAAAAATAATTATAATAAATTAATTATTACAATTATAATCATCATCACTTCACTCTTTCTAAACCAATGAGACTCGATGCTACTTTTCTCCTCTAAGCACACAAACACGTAACAGTCTCACTATCGAATAGGCAGTCAACACGAACGGGCCGTCAACACGTGCGTCAACGAAAATTTCGGCTCCATTTCTTTTATCATGCCATAATTGTAACATTGGCACTTAAAAAACATAAAGTCTGTATACACTTGATTTATTCTTTATCTGTCGAATTTCAATCCATATTTGATCTACATTTGACTCCAAACTCACAATTTTACTCAGTATTATTGTCTCTCGTGTCTCCAACACCACGTAACAACCAAATAAGAAATAATACTCGTTTTGGTGTTTCCATGTTTAGGTGTTTGTGTAAATGTAAGGAAGTTGAAAATTATCTACTCAGAGTTATAACTCACCGACAAACACATCCGATTCATTTTTCATTGCCATAATTGTAACAGTGGAAGAGCATTGCATTAGCGGTAGCAGCCATTGTTTATAAAATCACCCCTTATACTGAAGTGCATGTATAGGCACTTCAGTATACTTCTATTTATTGATCTACCTACGTATCTCCCTATGTTAGAAGATATTTTCAGGATTTGTGACCGATTACGGCTCTCCACTCTCCTTTTCTTAATTAAACTTGGGAAATAGAGTTAAGTGGTTTCCTGTTGCGTCTTTGAATTCAAAGTTGGCATTCTCCTAAAATGGCTACCACTCTAGCTTATATAATTTTCACACACACACACACACACACACATTTCATATATATATATATATATATATATATATATATATATATATGAAAAATTTATGTGAACATATATATATCTGAAAATATATATATATATATATATATATGAAAAATTTATGTGAATATATATATATATATATATATATATATATGAAATATATATATAAATAATTCATTTGAGCTCTCGGAGAGGAAGGGGTGATTTTATATACAGTGGCTGCTACTGCTAATGCAATGCTCTTCTACTTAAATCGAGCTCTCCTAGCTACTGACGTCTTTCGCATAGTAAAAACGTTAAAATATCGCTTCTGCGCTGCCGTGCGACGATAGCTTGGAGGTAATCTCTGACATGCCAAATAGGTAGGGTTTCGATTTCAGCTTGAAGCAGTCAGATGTCTAGCCACACTGATGAGCTGTGATACAGCGAAACAGTCTGTCTGTGGATGACTATATATATATGCATATGAAAAACTTATATATGAAATATAGATATATATATATAGGATAAACTGTTCTGTGTGTGTTTACATCTACCAAACTCCGTCAATAAGTTATTTGTAGAAAATGCAACTATAGTAGCCCCTTCCATATGTAAAAACGCTAAAAATAGTAAAATAAGAGCCAGCACTCAATAATATTAAATATGAACACGGCCACAACGTCCTGGCCGTGTTTGGAAAACAAAAACAAAAAACATTCGCATTACTATAGATAAAAATATATTAAAATTTTGATATTCATTTAATTATTTTAAAAACAAATATCCTTAATAATGGAATAGCCAAAAGTGTTGGTATATATAGAATATTAGAGCAGATTTTATACACTTTATGCCCAGAAAAGAAAACTCTTATACGAACACAAGAAAAAAAAGGAATAGAACACTTAATTGTAGTAACATGAAACTTTTATAAAAGAGACATTCCTGTCAAAATTGTTTTATTTAAAACTAGCAGGAGAGCCCGGCATTGCCCGGGAATGTAACAGTAAGAGATAGATCAAGTATCAACCATCATAAAGACTGAAAAATAAAATTGACAAAGATTATCGTTTAAGGTTGACGGACACGCATGTCTTAATTAGTTTTTTTTTTTTTTTTTTTACGGATTGGTCAAACTCAAACAAAAACATTGTTTTCAATCGTTATGAGTCTACCGATTGAATAGAATTTTATTATAAACAATTGTCTTGTAAATGGAATTTTTAAAGCATTCTGAATGTAAAAATAAAGAAAAAAGTGTGCAAGACAATAAGAAACACTACCTGCCAAAAAAAAAGTGAAGTTTTGTTGAAATCGGTTGAAAAATGTAGGAAATCCGATCCCATATATAAACGAACACACACACACACACAAACAACCAACCTGGGTTTTATAATAACTCGATAACTCGATATTAATAAGTATAACTCGATATGAGTTGTCCCCCTTTCATTAATGCCTCTTAATTGTGTTTTCAAATTGATTTCGCGCAAAAACAATTGTGTTTTTCCAATTTTTGGCACTGTCAGAACCACCGCATGGTAATTTTACGTAGTCCTGTGAAGTTTTGGTGAAATCGGTTGAAAAATGTAGGAAATCCGATCCAATATATAAACATACAGAGACACACACACACACACACAATCTGCGTTTTATAAGTAAGATTACTATACTATTACTAATATAATATTATTTCATTTTATTTTATCATGGGATACTTTATTACTGATATTCTTAGTCTAGTTAGGTTATTATTATAATTATCGGTAACTCTCTTAATTTTTGAAAAAATATAGAGTTGCTTCCCTTGATTTCCCAACGCCCCTTCTTGTTTATTTACGTTTACAAAATCAGCGTCTTCCTAATATAGAATATGTTTTTTCTTATTTCCAACCTTATTTTCAATCTTAAAAGTTAATCTAAGCTTAAATTCAAATTCAAGATTAAACTACAATTCATTTAAATATTTTAACTCCACTCCAACAATAATAATAATATAATATCTCGTGCGATTCAGAAAAAAATATTTGTAAAAACAGCGGCTGTCGACACAACATATAAATAGAAATAAAGAATAAATACAATAATTCCAGCACTTGAAAATAGCTTCGGCATAAAACTCAGAGTTGTGCAATTAATATAAGATATTATGTATATTGCTTGATATATATATATATATATATATATATATATATATATATATATAGCTCTGTTACTTTACATTGAGCACTGTTTTTTCATACACTATAAAGTAATTGTATGTTTTTGTATGGGATCGCTCGCTCGTATATCTAAGTATATATACACATCCGGTCATATATCTATATATATATTTTTATCTCGTCCTCATCCTCTCGCTAGCGGTAAAAATGTATTCATGGGAAGGTTTTAAAAAGAAACAATGACTTGTTAGCTGACGAAGCCATCACAGCAAAAACCGTGGATGCAAGAAGGTCAATGCTTCTGATATTTTATATATTAAATTTGCCTACATTTTCGCTCGATGAAAATAGTATTGAGCATTTTTTAATTAGGTCGTTCTTTTGGCGAGCAATATTTTTGACAAAAATAAATTTAAAAAAAATTTAAATTTGCAGTGCTGATGTTGCTACATGCCTTACTTCTTGCCTATCTCACACTGCGAATTTTTTCTAAGCTCTATACTAAACATTAAATCTGTTACGAAAAAAGAACTAAACAAAATGAACACGAAACGATCAGCTTTAAAAAAAAGACTAGTAACTGGAAAAACCGAATGAAAAAAAGAATGTTAACAACAAATACATTTTTTTACACTCAACCCAGTTCAGCGGAATCAGAATAAACGTTGAGTTTAAGCAAGCGAATGAGCCAATTGGAGTAAAGTGCCATGCAGCTGTTGGTTCTCACGCTGACCAATAGAATCTTCCTGCCTATTCGTGGCAGCCAGCTATAGGCTCTCACTCTGGCCAGTACAAAATGGCCGCAAAGTACATGAAAACTGCCGTAGAAGCATGAAAAAATCGATTATTTCCACTATCGATGGGAGTTGGAAAATGCAAAGTCGGTGTTGGCCTTTCCGCTAATTTGGAGCATGTGCATGTAAATTTTGGTGCAAATCCGTCGAAAATTGCGGCCGTGCATTCGTTACACACACACACACACACACACACACACACATCCTGCCTTTTATAGATAGAGATTTCGCGCATGCGCGTTGTTTGTTTTTGCTTTTGTCTGCACAGGATAGTATTGTCATTTGGGTACAGTCTGTGAGAAAAAGAGCATCATGATGCCTTTCCCTCCGCCAGAAATTTTGAAATGGTATTCGTGCCGGAATCTCCAATACGAACATTTCAGAATGTTTGGGTGCCAATCTGAAGAGAGTGCAGAGGATTCGGAAAGAATTGGATGATATATCCAGTCAACATCTTGGTCACTAGTAATGGCGACGTTATGGTTTCATTCATCTTCTCACGGAGCCTCAAACTCAACCCGGAGACTGGCATCAACTGTCTTGAGGAGGTAGTACTGCCCTGAATCAAGAGGGTGGTTGCTGAAAACACCCAACAAAACTCTTTGTAACACCAAAGATGAACTGAAGAATTATGGCGGGATTCACCAAATTAAACAGGGAAACCGTCCAGAAGAGTTGCAGAAGATGTCGAAGTCGTTTAGATGCCGTGGTTGAAGCGAATGGCGATGTTATTGAATAAACTTACTCTTTTGTATTTCAAGAAATTTTTGTGTAATTTTAGTAAACATAACTGTCAAAATGAGTTGTCAGTGTTATTCTCATTTTAGCGTAATTTACTCGA